AGGACCAGCATTACCTTTTTAACCTTGAGTAGCTCTTTTATGGGATCAGACTACACAGTCCAGCCTTCCCTCCCCACCTCCATCAGTGAGCCTTCCCTCCCCACCTCCATCAGTGAGCCTTCCCTCCCCACCTCCATCAGTGAGCCTTCCCTCACCTCCATCAATGAGCCTTCCATCCCCACCTCCATCAATGAGCCTTCCCTCCTCACCTCCATCAATGAGCCTTCCATCCCCACCTCCATCAATGAGCCTTCCCTCCTCACCTCCATCAATGAGCCTTCCATCCCCACCTCCATCAATGAACCTTCCATCCCCACCTCCATCAATGAACCTTCCCTGCCCACCTCCATCAATGAACCTTCCCTGCCCACCTCCATCAATGAGCCTTCCCTCCCCACCTCCATCAATGAGCCTTCCCTCCCCACCTCCATCAATGAGCCTTCCATTACCACCTCCATCGATGAGCCTTCCCCTCTTCATCTCAATCAATGAGCCTTCCTTCCCCACCTCCATCAATGCGCCTTCCCTCCCCACCTCCATCAATGCGCCTTCCCCTCCCCACCTCCATCAATGAGCCTTCCTCCCACCCCATCCATCATGAGCCTTCCCTCCCCACCTCCATCAATGAGCCCTTCCTCCCCACCTCCATCAATGAGCCTTCCTCCCCACCTCCATCAGTGAGCCTTCCCTCCCCACCTCCATCAGTGAGCCTTCCCTCCCCACCTCCATCAGTGAGCCTTCCCTCCCCACCTCCATCAGTGAGCCTTCCCTCCCCACTGCCATCAATGAACCTTTCCTTCCCACCTCCATCAATGAGCCTTCCCTTCCCACCTCCATCAATGAACCTTCCCTTGCCCACCTCCATCAATGAGCCTTCCCTCCCACCTCCATCAATGAGCCTTCCCTCCCCACCTCCATCAATGAGCCTTCCCTCCTCACCTCCATCAATGAGCCTTTGCCTCCCCCCACCTCCATCAATGAGCCCCCTGCCCACCTATGAGTCTCCTGTCACCAGTTGGCTGGTTCTCTTCTTCCTTGGACCACTTTTGGTGGGTCCTGATCACTGCAGATCAGGAACATCCCACAAGAGCTTCAGTGTTGGACTTGTTCTGACCCAGTCATCTAGACATTACAGTTTGGGCCCTTGTCAAAGTCGCTCAAATCCATTTTTTCTGCTTTTAACTCATCAACTTGATTGTAAAGGTCATTTTTTTTAACCTCCATCAACCATGTCATGCTTACCTGCTCTGTAATGGTTTTTTCATAGAGCAACCTCCGATCCTCCTCCCCATCCTTGAGCCTTCCCGTTGGCGCTCCTGGCACAGTCAGGTGCACCTTGTGAATGGTCCCGTAGTCTTGTGGGACCTGTCACGTCCCAGAAGACTACGAGAGAGGAGGAAGGCCAACTTCTACTTCCGATTACCTAGGCCGTCTCAGCAGAAATGGGAGGAGCCGTACTTGTCTGACTGTCATCAAAATCGGGTACCTGATATTCATCCCCCCCACCCCAAAAAGTGCCAGTTCCTCACTGTGGACTCATGACTTTTGGGTGGAGCTCATTTTTTTTTTAAATCAACCAGTGACCTTCTGTAAGGGGTTTTCATAGAGCAACCTCCGATCCTCCAATTTGGGTCCAACTTTGGCGCTCCTGGCACAGTCAGGTGCACCTTGGTGAATGGTCCCGTAGTCTTTCAATGTTAACCCCAAAACTTGAGAGGGAGGAAGGCCAACTTCGTACTTGATTTTGCCGTGCATCAAAATGGGGCGCGTACTTTCATAAAGGGACAAGTTACATCCCCCCCCAAAAAGTGCACCAAAGTTTCCTCACTGTGGAGTGTTGCACAACCTTTGGAGTGGGTGGAGCGGGAGCCGTTTTAAATGGTCATGGCCAGGGCGGACTGACCATTCGAAAACTCGGGCACTGCCCGAGGGCCCGGGTCAGTAGGGGGCCCTATGAAATTCCCGTTACCTTTTATAGGCTTTTTTTAAATGTGGGCAAGGACACAGGGGCCCCATGATCCCCATTGCCCGGGGGCCCCATGAGTTGTCAGTCCGCCCCTGGCCATGGCTGATCAGTGTAGATGGACAGTAGAATAAAGAAGGACTTTTGTCATTTCCAGTCTTCAAGTGGAAGAATCCGATCCCTGAAAACCCACTTATTCGGTTTCTTGTCACATCAGTAAACAATCTGATTGGGTGATGAGACTTGCTGCTCTTTGAATGACCCCATTAGGGGCCACGTACAAGTGTCCTCAGAAATCAGGTTAAGCCGCAGCTCCATCTCTCCACAAAGCTTCCTATTCCAAGGATTTACAGAAACAAAATCAAGAAATCTTTAATATCTGTAATCTGGAGTACGACTTTCCAGCCCCATCCACTTCCCATCTTAGGCCGGCCAAACATGGGTCGAAAATCGACCGATTTTTCATCCGAAAATTGGACCTAAGGAAAATCAGCCAATTTTCGCTGTTAGTGGGTCAACGGCACCAACCAATGGTGGTTCCTCCCCTTTTTTCGGTGATCGGGCATGTTGGAAAAATCCCGTGAAAAAAAACGGCCGATTTTCGACTCAATGATGGTCAAATCGTACGATCGTTTTTCCAAAAAGAATATGAGCCGTGACCTGGAAGGAACAGAAGTTTTGCCTGTTATATGAGGTGAACTTTATGACTCGGTCGATCAATTTTTTAAATCAATGATGGCGCCATCGGATTACCGAGCGAACGACATTTCCAATTTTTGGACGAAAAATCGTTCGGAATTCGAACCATGTATGGCCTGCATTATAATGGAAGATGCCAAATGTATCCATTATGGAGCAACACCTGAAACGCTGCTACTTAAAGGGCACTGCTGTCAAACGTCACTTCATGGCCTGTTGACTTCCCCTCCCCCTTTATGAGAAAGGTGACATTTTCAATATTTAATTGCTAAGAAATATAATTTTCTTCTTCTTTTATTTGGACCCTCCCACTTCTCCTTCAATTTTCACTTTGGCGCAGGTGACTTATAGAACCCGCACCATCCTTGGATATTCATGGCACATTTCTCAGGAGGCTGCATCCATTTAGCACATAAATCATGCAAGATGTCGCTAAGTGGACATCGCAGCGCCTGGTGGTCTATGTCTTCGCATACATGACCCCTGGCATGATGTCATCAGGGGCCCGGCTGCAACAATTAGGAGATGGCAGGAGCCTCCAGGTGATGTAGAAAAGAAAGATGGCGGCATGGTTGTGACTTGCTACAAAAGTTACAATGCTGCAGTGTAATCACTGGGGGAGGGGAGACTGAGGAAATGCTTCCTCCTGCCTGCAGTAGATTGATGACATCATCTCAGCCTAGGCACAGTCACTGGCTGGAGATGAAGGACAACTTTTTCTGGATAAAATGTGGAGATTTACTGGAAAATGATACTGTTGCTGTATCTTGTAATATGAAAGGTTCCTGAGAGTCACTATATCCAATATCTGTACCCCGCCACCCCCCACATTGTGCGCCTCAGTTTCGAAAGACCCAACCCTACTTCACCCCTCCCCCATACTCTCACTCCTACTCCATGCCCATACCCAACATTCAGCTGTTATGAGGCTGGCCACATGGTGAGTGCAGTCCTCTCTCTTCTGCTCTGGTGTCAGCAATGGGAAGTCCTTATTGAAGCATAGAGCATTGGCCCCCAGCATTGAACTGTGACCCCAGGCTGCCATGATAATGCATGCCCGGGGGGGGTGTCCATGTCAGCCAAGGCTCACAGCAAATGGGTTGGGCCACAGGATCCGTAGGTTTGCACAAAGATTTTCCAGTAAGCTGGAATATAATTATGAGTTACACAGAGATTTTCTGACTTTGACTCCAAGCAAGGCTGCCGAAATGTCATGGGACTGGTCTACACATAGTCCTTTAGCACCCAAAGCAAGGAGGTAACATTTTGTTTTTTTCCCCCCATTAGCAGTGAACCACCTCAGCAATATAAGGTGAAGGTCCTGCCCTTTTTGCACCCCCCCCCCCTTCCCCGAGTCGGCCACTTCTGCCTAACCCTTGTCCCAACCCCCGACTGTACATATCAGCCTATAGATGCAATTTTTGGCTTTATATGTAAATTGTGACATTCAGTGTTTCTATTTGTACCAGTGCCGATCCCGGACGAGCCCCCATCTTCCACCCCATCCCCCCCACACACCCGGATCACGAATCTGAGCAAATCACACCCAATGGGAGAAGCAGCACGTTTATTGAAAGAAAAGCATACAAAACACAGGGTAAAGGTCTGTACATTATGTGCCCCCATAGAAAGGAAAGAAAAGGGGGCAACCAGCCTGAATCATCTGCCCCAGGCAGGGGTAAATACAGGGTTCAAGAAGAGGAAAGAAGCCTGCCCGTGTATATACAAGAGATTCCTCCCAGCCGTAAAGCGGACCTGTATACTCACTAGTAAGGGGGACCTCTACTTATTATCTTAGAAAGGAAGGAGGTGTTACTGGGGGGTGGCCAGAGAGAAGACTATCCAAGGCTCTCTCTTTAGAAAAGTTTCTGCAGGAAATATTTTTTAGGTAGTTTGAGAAGCACAGAAAAGCATTCGCTGGTGATGACAGGTCCGCTTTAGCGGCGGTGGTGCAGAAAGGTGGAATGGACTGATCATGAAGTGGAGGATGGACATGGTGGGGATCTGTACATTTAGTCCAGCAGCTATCAGGAGTATGAGGGGGGGGGAGGGGAATGTTCTAACAGTGCAGTAGATCTCTAGCAACTAAAGGGTTAAAGAGTAATGCTTGGCCTTAGCGGTGGAAGGGTTAATGGGGCGATGCGATGGGAGGTCAGCGCTGCGATTCTCTCTAGTGGGACGGTAGTGGCATCTCTGCTCCACCATCTGCTGCTGGTCCATCTGGTGGAGGAAAATGCTAATGACATGATGGCAGAGAGGCCCGTCGCGGTGGAGGGAGAGGAAGGGTTAATGACGGGATGCTCTGCGGTGAAGAGGGTTATGGCGGTTAAGCTGCTCCTCATCCGGTGCCGTCGGGGGAGGGGCTGAGTGGGGATGGCGTTTCTTCAGCAGGGGTGCTGGCAGGTGACGGTGCGGGGGTAGTCAGGCCTGGTGTCCGCTCGCTGTCCATGGATGGAGATGGGGTCTTGGACTCGGTCTGTTCCGGTGCCCTCAGGCGCTTCATCATGGTGGTCACCCGCACAGCTTTCTGTGGAGAGATAAGGCAGAAATATGAGGCACCTTATAGGAGCCAAGACCCCCCAACTGCAGTACAAACCGCCAACCTTCTACACGGCACCAACACTCAAACTTTGATAGGAAAAAGTTGTAAAAAGGAGAAGAGCATTGTACACGGTGTGTGCTGAGAAATTGGGAATACATCTTCAGCAAATCATTGTTGTTCCTCATGGCAACCAAGCAGGGGTAGGCAGAAGAGACGGCCGCCATGGGCGCTTCAGCAGGAAGGGGGCACAAATAGGGCAGCACTCATGAAGGTAAGGGGACACACCCACATGGAAGAAAAGTAGATTTTAAAAATATTCTCCCCAAATATATTGACATATATTTGGCCGTATTCAATATATTACCAAAAAAAAAAAAAATATATATATATATATATATATATATATATATATAATATATATATATATATATATATATATATATATATATATATATATATATAAATATAAACGCACATCAATATACAGTGTGTGTGTAAACCTATATACACATCAATATACAGTATATATACAACACACACATATACACACACACACACATACGATGTGAATGTACATATATATATATATATAATTATATATAAAGCGCTGCGTAAATTGACGGCGCTATAGAAGTACCTGAAATATATATATATATACACATACACACACACACACGATGTGAATGTACAATATATATATTATGTACACATACATTATAATTATATATGTATATATATACATATACATACACACACACACACACACATACACACACACACACACACACACACACTGTATGTTGATGTGCGTTTATATATATATATATATATATATATATATAAATATATATATATATATTTATTTCAGGTACTTCTATATCGCCGTCAATTTACGCAGCGCTTTACGTATATATCATACATTCACCTCAGTCCCCTAACCCTCAAGGGACGTACAATCTAAGGTCCCTAACCCTCAAGGGGCGTACAATCTAAGGTCCCTAACCCTCAAGGGGCGTACAATCTAAGGTCCCTAACCCTCAAGGGGCGTACAATCTAAGGTCCCTAACTCACATTCATACATACACATACTAGGGACAATTTAGACAGGAGCCAATTAACCTTCCAGCATGTCTTTGGAGTGTGGGAGGAAACTGGAGTACCCGGAGGAAACCCACGCAGGCACAGGGAGAACATGCAAACTCCAGGCAGGTGGTGCCGTGGTTGGGATTCGAACCAACGACCGGAGTACTGCCAGGCAGAAGTGCTAACCATTTAGCCACTGTGCTGCCCATGTATATAACAAATTATATGGAAAATATGTTTAAATATATTATTTTAATATATTCTTCAGATTTTTTTTAACATTAAAAAACATATTTACAAATGAATTCCAAAAATTTAGACTAAATGTATTTTTAAAAATATTTTTCGTATATTTTGTAATCTATAAAAAAAACGCATTTCAACTATATATATATATATATATATATACATATATATATACATATACACACACACACATATATACATATACATACATACATATACATACATACACATATATGCATACACAAACACACATATATATATATATATATTTTTTTGGAATGCATTTACAAATATATGTTAAAATGACCTAGTTAAAAAAAATCTGAAGATATTTTAAAAATACAATATATGAAAAATATTTTTAAATATATATTAAAAAAAATGCACTTCAACATACAGTAAATATATATATATCTCCCCTAGATTGTAAGCTCAAAAGAGCAGGGCCCTCAAACCCCTCATGTTTTGTTACTGTATTGTCTCATGTTCTGTCCCCCACTATAATGTACAGCGCTGAGCAAACTTTTTGGCGCTATAGAAATACTGTATAATAATATATATATTGTACAGTCTGATCATTGGAGGAGGCATTTCCTCAGTCTCCCCTCCCCAAAGTTACAATGTACAGTCTGATCACTGGGGGAGGGGAGACTGAGGAAAAGCTTTGTTCTTCAAGGTTACAGTAACCCCTACTCCTGTAAATGGCATCCGGTGGTGTATTCATGCAGATGTACCATTTCCGATAGCCCCTCCCCCCCACCCCACGTTCTTCTAGTTATAAATTGCGCAGACAAAGACGGCTTATAAAACATTAACGAGATTCCTGAGATGACACTGATCACATATAATCATATCCAGTACAAAACTCTTCCGTTTTCCTTTAAACACTTTGCTGGATTTGAATCTCTCATCCTGGCGTCTGCGGCGAGAACTCGTGAAATATGCATCAAACCGCCGCGCTGAATCTCCTGAATATTACAAGGGCGGTGAGCAGAATTTGACTTTCTGCTCATGTGAAAAACATGAATCCCGACGCGGGAGAATAATGGAATAAAATCCCAATAAAACAGCGACAATGGCGGCACGAAAATGCTAATATGACCGCGAATACGGTGAGGTGACAGGATCGCGGCGCACCTTCGCTAATCGCACGCGGCTGATGTTAATGTATGTGTGTATTTATCGCTAAAACCGATTACGGCGCCTCACCTTACTCTGTATATATAAATCAAGCCGGAATTAGCGCCGCGGGCTCGGATGCGGTGGGGGGGCGCGTAGGTATCTGTTTAACCATTGGTGCCCCGGCCGTGCGGCGAGCTGCGTGACGCTGGATTAGCGATAATTCCTCATTACATTGAAGGGATTTGAGGGTCCGGGTGGCGGCAGCTGCTTCTCTCGACAGCTGCGGGACTTCAGCGACGGCGGATGGGCGCGTTTTTCTGGAAATTTCCACTATCTGGAGATCTCCAAAAAACAACTTTGTAGCTTTTATGTGACTTTGGTTTTTTTTTAATTGAATATTAGAGTGCGGATTAAAGTGGACCTGTCATCAGCAGGTCACAAAGCAGTTGGTGTTCGGTGGAATGACAGCCAGTCGCAGCACATCACGCCACTCGCCTTTTTTTTAATTAACTTTATCAAAATGTTACACGGTGACATTTCATTAAGTTCTAATGGTCTCTGCGAGGTGCAAGGCGAGGTGCAGCATGCTGTACTCGTCCTTCAGCACACGCCACCACAACGTATTAGTGGAACCAGTAGGAGACATGGCCTTGTCTTGCGGTGGGACTGCCCTTGGATGGTCGTCCGAAGAAGTCCTACCATACCTGGTATGAATGGAACCTAAAAGGTTTATTCAAGGTGGCACTGGATCCGAGGGAGTAGTTAGGTCCTGATGATGTGGAGAACTGCAGGTTCGGTAACATCTGTATAGGGGGTGGGCTCAAGGGTGTGTGGTCAATGAGGCCATCAACTCTTGGCATTGAGGCCAGAGTGTCCATATCAGATAGTCTGCCTTCACTACAGCTCCATAACATTGCCCAGGGCTGGTTGCTAGGATTAGTGATGGACTGAAATCCCCCCGATCGGTCTGCGGTCGAACATTCAAGCCTACCGAAAGTTCAACTGTGAACTTCGAACACGAATATACCGAGCGGTATCTACAACCTCTGAGTATGTGGTAAGATGCCTTATGAGGTATATTATGAAGTCATGCTGTATTTTAGTAGTGAAAATTTTTTTTCACGTTTCAGCTGTTGGTGGGGTTCCCCGCTGACAGCTGAATGTTGCAAGAATTGTCGGCATTGCCAGAAAATGAAAAAAAAAAAAATTAAATGGCGTGGGGTCCCCCCTCCCATCCATACCAAGCCCTTGGGGCGTGGGGCCCCTCCTACCATCAATACCAAGCCCTTGGGGCGTGGGGTCCCTCCTCCAATCCATACCAAGCCCTTCAGGCGTGGGGTCCCTCCTCCAATCCATACCAAGCCCTTCAGGATTCTGTTCCCCCTCCCATCCATACCAAGCCCTTCGGGAGTGGGGTCCCTCCTTCCATCCATACCAAGCCCTTCGGGAGTGGGGTCCCTCCTTCCATCCATACCAAGCCCTTCGGGCGTGGTGTCCCTTCTCCAATCCATACCAAGCCCTTCAGGCGTGGGGGTCCCTCCTCCAATCCATACCAAGCCCTTCAGGCGTGGGGTCCCTCCTCCAATCCATACCAAGCCCTTCAGGATTCGGGTCCCCCCCTCCCATCCATACCAAGCCCTTCGGGCGTGGGGTCCCTCCTCCCATCCATACCAAGCCCTTTGGGCGTGGGGTCCCTCCTCTCACCCATACCAAGCCCTTTGGGTCTGGTATGGATTTTAAGGGTAACCCCCATGCCAAAAACTTTTTAAAAATGGAGTGGGGGTCCCTCCCAAAATCCATACCAGACCCTTATCCAAGCATGCAGCCCAGCAGGTCAGGACAGGGAGACGATGAACGAGTGCCCACTCCTGAACCATACCAGGTCACATGCCCTCAACATGGGGGGGTGATTTGGGGCAGGGGGGTTCCCCCAAAGCACATTGTCCCCATGTTGATGAGGACAAGGGCCTCTTCCCTACAACCCTGGCCGGTGGTTGCGGGGGACTGTGGGTGGGGGGCTTATCGGAATCTGGACTATGGGGTACATGGTACCGCTACCCAAAAAAAAAAAAAAGCGTAGTGTAAAAAAAGACAGGAGACAGTCTTTGACAAGGCCTGTTATTTAAAAACAAAAATTTTAAAAAAATGTCCCCCGAAGTAGATCCAATGTCAATCATGATGTCCAATGCCAACAGCAACCAGAAAAGAGAAAAAAAAAAACGTTCTGCTCTCAACGCTAGCTCCTGGCCGTCTGACAGCTGCACCGCGATGACGGTTCTTAAATACTGTGATGATGTCACAAGGGGCGTGGTTACCCCCCTTGCGATGTCATCATGCACTGTGATTGGCCAAAGCATTGCATCTGGGGTTGGGGTGGGAGTAACAGCCATCCAAGGTGGCAATTAACCTAGGTTTCTCCCAATTTAGGGTTTACTCTCTACCCACCTTCAAAAAGATGAATTATTGAGGTGGTTGAGTGCAAATGATCGGTTTTTTTTTATTATTATTCTACAGTATTTATAAAGCGCCAATAGTTTGCTCAGCGCTGTACATTACAAAGGAGGACAGAACATGTGACAGAACAATACCAATACAATGCAAAACATGAGGGGATTGAGGGCCCTGCTCCTCGGAGCCTACAATCTAGGAGGGAGGGGGGTGGCGGCACAGGAGGAGATAGCTGTGGGGGATGGAGTGGTAGGAAGAGTGGAGGAGGTCGGCAAGTTAGCAGGGGGTGGGGTAGGCTTCCCTGAAGAGATGGGTTTTCAGGGTGCGCCTAAAGGAGAGGAGAGTAGGTGATAATCTGCTAATTATCAGTGAAAATCCAACACATTTCAAGGGTAACAGGATCTTCCTTCTTCAGGGGTTGGACCGAAATGCTGCTAAAACTTCTATTAACGGAGTGATTGGTTTCAAGTACACGGCACCAATACTGATACATCGAATTATTGTAGGTTGAAAGAACCTGCTATTGGAAGCTTGAGCTGTCTGTGGCAGACCAGAAGGACAAGTAATGGTGACAGGTGAGCTTGGTGACATGAGTGGTGGTTCAGAGACCATTGTTAGTGGCTGTGTGGTGGACACCATGCAACGATCCTGCCAAGTCTCATGAAATGTACCGTCATTATTATTATTATGTGTGTTATCATGAACATGGAAGTCCTGGCTTAGCTCAGGTCATTTCCACCCCCCCTGTCCCATATGTGGCCACCTTGGGGTGTCTCTTGCACTTCAGTGCTATGTTACATAGACCCTTGGTAATTTCCCAACGGTACTGGATTCCGAAGCCGCCATCTTAATAGTATAAATTGAGGGGATATTCAGTGGACACAATTCCACTGACAACAGTAGTTTGGGGGCTACTCTCCTCAGGGGACCATAGTCCCTTTGACACCAATGATTTGAAGGCCATTCTCCCCTGGTGGCCACAATCCCATGGACACCAATGGTTTTGGGGCTATTCTCCCCTGGGGCCACAATCCCACTGATTCCAATGATTTGGGCACTACTCTCTATTGGGGCCATGATCCCATTGACACCAATGATTTGGGGTCATTCTCCCCTGAAATCCACAATCCTACTGATACAAATGATGAGGGAGCTTTTCTCTCCTGAGGTCCACAATCCCACTGATACCAATGTTTTGTGGGCTATGCTCTGCTGGGGGCCACAATCCCACTATTACCATTGCTTTGGGGTCTATTCTTCCCTGGGGGCTTAGTTTCAATGACACAAATGCTTGGAGGTCTATTCTCCCTTGGGGCCACAATCCCACTGATGTCCAAATGATTTGGGGGCTAATCTCCCCTACTACTGAAGATGCCACTATTTTCCTATTCTCCTATAATCTCATTGATACCAATGATTTGGGAACTACTCTCCAATGGGGCCATGATCCCATTGACACCAATGATTTGGGTTCATTCTCCCCTGAGGTCCACAATACCACTGATAGCAATGAAGAGAGGGCCTTTTTTCGCTGGGGGCCACAATCCCACTATTACCAATGCTTTGAGGGCTATTCTTCCATGGAAACTCAATCTCACGGACACCAATGATTTGGGGCTATTCTTCTCCAGGGGCCCAATCTCACTGACACCAATGATTTGGGGTCTATTCTTCCCTGGGGACCCAATCTCACTGACACCAATAATGTGGGGGTTATATCTCACTGACACCAATGATTTAGGGGCTATTCTTCTCCGGTGGCCCAATCTCACTGACACCAATGATTTTGAGTCTATTCTTCCCTGGGAGCTCAATCTCACCGACACCAATAATTTGGGGGCTATTCTTCTTTGGGAGCCCAATCTCACTGAGACCAATTATTTGGGGGCTGTTCTTCTCTGGGGGCCCAATCTCACTGACACCAATGATTTGGGGGCTATTCTTCCCTGGGGACCCGATCTCACTGACACCAATGATTTGGGGGCTAGTCTCACCTGGGGCTACAATCCCACTGACACCAGTAATTTGGTAAAAACAACCCCATGTATACCATCAATTTGATGGCTATTCCTTCTCACTGACACCAGCTATTTGGTAAAGCAAACCCATGTCTACCATCAATTTGATGACTATTCTTTCTCACACTGACACCAGCGATTTGGGGGCTTTCCTCCCCTAGAGGTTAGAATCCCACTAATGATTTGGGGACATTCTCTTGCATACCCATACTTTTATACTTGTTTTATTTTTAACTAGTGGGGCATAAAAAGTCTTTGGACGAATTCACAAGGCCCCATTCTAAGGTTGAGGACCCCCCAGCTCTAGAGGTCTACATTGTGTCTTCCTTTGTACACTGGTAATGTGTGATCTGTACCATGACCATTGAATACATTTCACATCGAAGGAATACAATTGTTACCTTCCATTTGGCTTTTGCAAAGTTCTTCTCAATCTGCGCACACACTCCATCCTTGATGTTTTTATCCGATGCAGCATTCCCTGAAATCCTGAAAACACACAATTTGTTATTGTGACCACCATGTGCACTGGGAGGGGCCATACTGTGGGTGGAGTTAATACTTGGCCCATCATCATAGATGACGCAATGATTTCACTAGGTCTAGGAGAACGGATTGGCTGCACTAGGCTGGCACGGTACCAAAGTGAATTCCAACTTCCATGGGGATCCCACAGGTATAGTTACATTGGTCTAAACCAGTGGGGGCAACCTTTTTTTTCAACTGAGCCGCCAAAATTTGATTGAAATTTATTTTGAGAGCCACATTTTTAAAACTGAAAATACATCTCCCATATAGTAATTCATCCCCCATAGTGTAATTCATCCCCCATGGTGTAATTCATCCCCCATAGTAAATTCATCACCCCCATATAGTAATTCATCCCCCATATAGTAATTCATCCCCCATATAGTAATTCATCCCCCATAGCAATTATCCCCCGTGGGTATTTCATCCCTCGTATAGTATTTCATCCCCCGTATAGTATTTCATCCCCCATATAGTATTTCACATATCATCCCCCATATAGTATTTCATCCCCCATATAGTATTTCATCCCTCATATAGTATTTTATCCCTCATATAGTAATCCCTCATATAGTGGGGTATTTTCATCCCCCCATATAGTATTTCAGGGGGCCCTCATATGGATCCCTCATATAGATTTCATCCCCCCATATAGTATTTCATCCCATTCATCCCTCAATAGTATTTCATTATAGTATTTCATCCCCCCAGTATTTCATCCCTCATATAGGTATCTATCATCCCCCATATAGTATTTCATCCCCCCATATAGTATTTCATCCCCCCATATAGTATTTCATCCCATATAGTAATTCATCCCTCATATAGTATTTCATCCCTCATAAGTATTTCATCCCTCATATAGTATTTCATCCCCCATATAGTAATTCATCCCCCCACATAGTATTTCATCCCCTCATATAGTATTTCATCCCTCATATAGTAATTCATCCCTCATATAGTATTTCATCCCTCATATAGTATTTCATCCCCCCATATAGTATTTCATCCCTCATAAAGTAATTCATCCCCCATATAGTATTTCATCCCCCCATATAGTATTTCATCCCTCATAAGTAATTCATCCCTCATATAGTACTGCGCATCCCTCATATAGTAATTCACCCCCCATATAGTAGTTTTCATCCCCCCATATAGTTATTTCATCCCTCATAATAGTAATTCATTCCCTCATATAGTAATTCATCCTCATATAGTATTTCATCCCTCATATAGTATTTTCATCCCTCATATAAGTATTTCATCCCCCCATATAGTATTTCATCCCTCATAAAGTAATTCATCCCTCATATAGTATTTCATCCCCCACAGTACTATTCCCCCCCCCCCTTCTAGTAAGCCAAGTCCCCCGTGTCAATTCACTTATTTGCGTTCCCTCTCGCTGTCTTCTTCCCGCGCCGTTCGGGTCTTCAGGGCGGACTGTGAGAGGAGCCTAGCTCCCCTCCCCTCACGTTCGGCACGCTGCCCCCGCCTACACACATCCTGACAGCACATCCGTAGGCCGGATTAAAAGGTCCGCGCGGACTTTTGGGGCTGCCTGGAGGAGGCGCCGTACCGAGAGGAAGTGGAGCATTCCAACAGAAGAGCCCATGGGGTAAAGAGCCGCATGTGGTCGCGATAGCTTGCCGACCATTGGTCTAAACTGATTCAATGTAACTACAGAAAACTATTCATACCTCCAGTTCAGCTTTAAGTACTAACACTATAATTCTCACTTTGTATATAAAATAAAATCATAAACGCACTCCACTGACGCGTTTCGTCAAATTGACTTTTTCAGAGGTCTATGAAAACCCTATCTATGATCGAAGGTCTATGAAAAAAAATGTAACAATCTTTATGGGGTTATTTTTGTATTAGGAGCTCAGTGAATTCAAGCGTGGTCCCGTGATAGGTGGCCACCTGGGCAATAAGTCCATCTGGGACATTTCCTGGCTACTAAATATTTCCACGCTCAACTGTTAGTGGGATTATAACAAAGTGGAAGCAACTGGGAACAAACAGCAACTCAGCCACCAAGTGGTAGGCCACGTCACATGACAGGGCGGGGTCAGCGCATGCTGAAGCGCACAGTGCGCAGAAGTCACCAACTGTCTGCAGAGTCAATAGCTAAAGACCTCCAAACTTGGTGTGCCTTCAGATGAGCCCAACAACAGTGCGTAGAGAGCTTCATGGAATGGGTTTCCATGGCCGAGCAGCTGCATCCAAGCCTTCCATCACCAAGTGCAATGCAAAGCGTCAATGCCGTGGTGTAAAGCACGCCGCCACTGGACTCTAGAGCAGTGGAGGAGTGTTCTCTGGAGTGACCAACCATGCTACTCTGTCTGGCAATCCGATGGACATGTCTGGGTTTGGCGCTTGCCAGGAGAACTGTACTTGCCTGACTGCATTTTGCCAAGTGTAAAGTTTGGTGGAGGGAGGATTATAGTGTGGGGGTATTTTTTAAGGTAGGGTTTGGCCCCCTATTTCCAGTGAAGTGAACTCTTAAGGCATCAGCACACCAATACATTTTGGACAATTTCATGCTCCCAACTTTGTGGGAAGAGTTTGGGGATGGCCCCTTCCTGTTCCAACATGACTGCGCACCAGTGCACAAAGCAAGGTCCATAAAGACATGGAGGAGCCAGTTTGGGGTGGAGGAACTTGACTGACCTGCACAGAGTCCTGACCTCAACCACATAGAACACCTTTGAGATGAATTAGAGCGGAGACTGTGAGCCAGGCCTCCTCCCCCGACATCAGTGCCTGACCTGACAAATGTGCTTCTGGAAGAATGGTCCAACCTTCCCATAGACACCCTCCTAAACCTTGTGCACGGCCTTCCCAGAAGAGCTGAAGCTGTTATAGCTGCAAAGGGCGGGGCCAACTCAATATTGAACCCTGCGGACTAACACTGGGAGGCCATTAAAGGTCATGTGTGTGGAAAGGGCGGGGCCAACTCAATATTGAACCCTGCGGACTAAGACTGGGAGGCCATTAAAGGTCATGTGTGTGGAAAGGGCGGGGTCAATCAATATTGAACCCTGCGGACTAAGACTGGGGGGCCATTAAAGGTCATGTGTGTGGAAAGGGCGGGGTCAACTCAATATTGAACCCTGCGGACTAAGACTGGGAGGCCATTAAAGTTCATGTGCATGGAAAGGCAGGTGGCTCAATACTTTTGGCAATATAGTGTGTATATACTGTGTATACATAAATATATATATACACACATACTGTAAGTTTAAGTTCACTGCAGCAGTTTTGGGAGAAAAAGTGATACTTTGGGAAAAAAATTCTTCTGAATTCTTGTATATAACACAGCAGGACAAGTCTACTTATTTTCAAAAAAGTGACAGTTATTTTCAGTCCAATAAGATTTGTAAATTACAGTCACATGGATAAATAAGGGCCTGTGTGGACGGGCTTTGGACTTGAGATCATTCAGAATTCATTGACATTTGACCTGCAGATGGCCTCTTCGATCCTATAGACTTGTACGGGAAGCAAAGCCTGTTTGAAGGAAACCAAAGCCAGCTGACAGGTCCTTAGAGAATCCTCTCCTTGTGTGAACTGTGAATTGAGCCTCGCCCCTGGTACTTCCTATTATTTTCTGTACTGGATATTTACTGCGGAATGTGGTATTGCTATAAACTAGACATAATGATAGGTGAGGGTATGTGACGGCATGGGAGCCTTACCATTCATGGCTAATGGCGTCCGCTGCTGTCGTCCTCTGGTCCTGGTCCACCTCCATCAGACGGGACACCAAATCTTTGGCTGTCAGAAGAGTAAATTGTCAGAGAAGATACACTACAGACATACCGACATGGGGGGACATGGAGCTTTGTAGGGAAACAAAATCCATTGCTTAAACATTGATCCCATGCATGAAGCCTTTTAAAAAAAAAAAAAAAAAAAAAAAAAAAAAAAAAATCGGATCTAACAAAAATCTAGGGGACGGGCGGACAGAAAGAGAAGCCATGCACCCAGAGAATGACAGACAGCAGCTACGGGGACCTGACATTCCTCCACGCCTTTGTCCAGGCTCCCGGCTGCCACCTGTCCTTCAAGAACCCGAATCTACCCAACCTCACCCAGAATGTTGTGCACCACAGAAGGACTTTTTTCCATGTAGAAACCTGACACCGTGCATTTGACGTGCAGTAACGGACTATTAAGCCAACTAGAAAACTGTCTCAAAATCAAAGTCCCGGTGAGTTTGAGAGGCACTGTAAGACCACTCCATGTAACTCAAGCAGCAAAGGAAAGGGATCCGCACCCACCCACCCGCTTGTAAACTTCTATATTGAAGGGGCACTGAAGCAAGAAATGGTCCATCTTCTCTTCCACCCCACCGCACCATTCTTGGACAACCACAGTTCTCTGAAGAGCGATGCTTCAGGTTGCTGTTCACATACAGTCAGGTCCATAAATATTGGGACATCGACACAATTCTAACATTTTTGGCTCTATACACCACCACAATGGATTTGAAAAGAAACGAACAAGATGTGCTTTAACTGCAGACTGCCAACTTTAATTTGAGGATATCTACATCCAAATCAGGTGAACGGTGTAGGAATTACAACAGTTTGCATATGTGCCTCCCACTTGTTAAGGGACCAAAAGTACTGGGACAGAATAATAATCATAAATGAAACTTTCACTTTTTAATACTTGGTTGCAAATCCTTTGCAGTCAATTACAGCCTGAAGTGTGGAACGCATAGACATCACCAGACGCTGGGTTTCATCCCTGGTGATGCTCTGCCAGGCCTCTACTGCAACTGTCTTCAGTTCCTGCTTGTTCTTGGGGCATTTTCCCTTCAGTTTTGTCTTCAGCAAGTGAAATGCTCAATCGGATTCAGGTCAGGTGATTGACTTGGCCATTGCATAACATTCCACTTCTTTCCCTTAAAAAATTCTTTGGTTGCTTTTGCAGTCTGCTTTGGGTCATTGTCCTTCTTCACTGTGAAGCGTCCAATGAGTTGTGAAGCATTTAGCTGAAGATGAGCAGATAATATTCCCGAAACACTTCACAATTCATCCGGCTGCTTTTGTCAGCAGTCACATCATCAATAAATACAAGAGAACTAGTTCCATTGGCAGCCATACATGCCCACGCCATGACACTACCACCACCATGATCACTGATGAGGTGGTATGCTTAGGATCATGAGCAGTTCCTTTCCTTCTCCATACTCTTCTCTTCCCATCACTCTGGTACAAGTTGATCTCGGTCTCATCTGTCCATAGGATGTTGTTCCAGAACTGTGAAGGCTTTTTTACATGTCGTTTGGCAAACTCTAATCTGGCCTTCCTGTTTTTGAGGCTCACCAATGGTTTCCATCTTGTGGTGAACCCTCTGTATTCACTCTGGTGAAGTCTTCTCTTGATTGGTGACTTTGACACACATACACCTACCTCCTGGAGAGTGTTCTTGATCTGGCCATCTGTTGTGAAGGGTGTTTTCTTCACCAGGGAAAGAATTCTTCAGTCATCCACCACAGTTGTTTTCCGTGGTCTTCCGGGTCTTTTGGTGTTGCTGAGCTCACCGGTGCGTTCCTTCTTTTTAAGAATGTTCCAAACAGTTGTTTTGGCCACGCCTAATGTTTATGCTATCTCTCTGATGGGTTTGTTTTGTTTTTTCAGCCTAATGATGGCTTGCTTCACTGATAGTGACAGCTCTTTGGATCTCATCTTGAGAGTTGACAGCAACAGGTTCCAAATGCAAATAGCACACTTGAAATGAACTCTGGACCTTTTATCTGCTCATTGTAATTGGGATAATGAGGGAATAACACACACCTGGCCATGGAACAGCTGAGAAGCCAATTGTCCCATTACTTTTGGTCCCTTAACAAGTGGGAGGCACATATGCAAACTGTTGTAATTCCTACACCGTTCACCTGATTTGGATGTAAATACCCTCAAATTACAGCTGACAGTCTGCAGTTAAAGCACATCTTGTTCGTTTCATTTCAAATCCATTGTGGTGGTGTATAGAGCCAAAAATGTTAGAACTGTGTCGATGTCCCAATATTTATGGACCTGACTGTAGAGTCTGCCATGGAATGAGAGCCAGGCTAAATCCCAAAACTTTAAAGGGGTTCTCTGCAGATTCATCAAAGGCAGAACCTCCCTCACAACAAGGCTTGGACAATCCCTCAAGGCCAATGGCTCGCTAAAGGCAGATTCAACAACCCTCCTCTCCAGGGCCTTCCTAGGAAGAGACTAAATTTCCTCCGCCGTTACTCACCACTGCTAAAGCATTTTCAGGCACAGGGCAACATAAGCCGGGAGCTTACCATGTTGGACCGTCAGGCTTTTCACTGGCCCACCATTCTCCCAGCTCCGCAGAAAAGGCCTAAACCAGGACTGAAGAATACCAACCCACACAGGCGGTTCCTCTGCCAGCATGCTACCAAAATTATGTTTCAAACACATCAGAGAAAAGAAACCCACTGGGTTGACCATACCTAGGCCACCCTTCAGCCTGGGAAGCTAGGTCCTCCGTCAAACTCACAGCCATTTCCCAGTCCTGGAGTAGAGTTCAGAAAACCAAACGTGCTCGCCCGATCGAGGTCCCTACCCAGGAGGTCAGCATAATATGAGCTGGAGGCTTCCAGGATCCCCGACTTGGACTTTGTCAGGGAACCCGTACTGTCAACCAGGCCTACAACGAACTTAACTGACTTCTCTACCTTGTTTGCAATTCTGGTAAGGGTCAGGTGAGTGACATTTCCCATAATCCCTTTCCAGAACCAAATAGGCATGCCTGTCATATTGACACTGCCTGAGCATTAGTTTAACCTCAGAGATCGCCCCCAGATCCCCATTATTCGAGACAAGTATATCAAGCTTCCTCCGCAGACGCTGGTAGGTGACATATATGTCAAGCTGTTTATTTCTTCCTATGGCTTTGAAAAACCCAACGATCCTTCGTTTTGTAAGCTCCCACCACTCGGACTTACTGCTGCAGAAGTCCATGATTGATACCTGTGCCTGAAAGAAATCCTCAAAGGATTGACTCACCTTCTCATCGTCCAGAAGTGCAGAATTCAGCTTCCAGGGACCCATCCCCTTAGGTGGTGTATCGGGGCCACTCAGGGTCACAGACAGAATACAGTGATCGGAAAACTCCACCGCCTGACACACTGGTGCCGAGAAGGCGGAGTTCCCCTTTAAAAAAAACAAAACTATCTATTCTACTCTGACTAGCACCTCCCTGAAAAGTGACATCTGGGCAGCAATGAATGTGCACATCAACCAGACCTGCCTCTCTAGCCGTCACAGTCCAGCCTGACTCCGGTCCCTCTCCTGTCCTTAGTCCTAGTGACGGTGTTAAAGTCACCACCGAAGACAACTTGCTAGGCTGTAAAAAGGAAAGGCTTGATCTTCATGAAGAGGCATTTCCTGTCCCATTTTGTCTGGGGCCCATAGATGTTAATCAGGCGCAGGTCCTGCCCCCCCATGGAGACGTCTAAGACCATGCATCTCCCCATTTCTACCTCAATAATCCGCCGACAGGTTACCATGCCGGAAAAAAGTACCGCAACTCCAGTGTAAGGCTCGGCCGCAAGAGACCAGAAGGAGGGGCCGTGCCTCCAGTCCTTCTTCGCCATATGAATATCTGCCAAACTGGACAACCTGGTCTCTTGTAAAAAGAAAATATCAGCATCAAACCTGCTGAGCAAAAATAAGGCCATGTTACGAGCGCTGATTTTATGCTGGCGACATTAATGGTCGCCACCTTTAAAGGAGTGGGAACCGCCATCAGGATGATCGAGGTACACGTTTCTTAGCCTGCTTACCCCCCTCCCTACTTGGAGACCCTACACGCTTCAGAGTCCTCTGTGATTCCTCCTCCATGGAAACCACAGACTCATCACCCGAAGCTCCTTCACCCTCCACCTCAGATAATACATCAAATGTGTTAGACACCTCCACCCTCCCAGGGTCAGGTACAGGCACATCCTTCTTCCGCTTCTTCTTCCCAGACTTCTTTTGCCTCCAACCACTCCATATCATTTGACAACCTGGACTGCAAAGTACACTCCCCCTCTCCTTTCCCCATCACCCACAACATCATCCACCCCATTCTCTGCACTCACCACAGTGGTCCCCCCAACCTTCACCCCAGTGCCCCCCACCATCATCCACTCCACCCCCCAGCGCCTCACACCCTCCGATCCTCAGACGCCAGGGACTGGTGGTTGGTGAAACCATGCACACTGGTCCAGCTCCCTCCACAGCCCCACACTACCTCTGGGGAAACTGACACAGGAGGATCAAACACAACATCCACTGACTTATGGGCACAACACAAGGAGATGACACATTAGATGGATCATCAGACACTGATACCACTGAGACAACAGAGACAGAGACATTGGGGACCCCTGGCACAGCCCCCCTTTCCTCTGCCTCCTCCATATCCAAAGCAGAATGGTTATGCATGGCCTCAGGGCACCGGTTGTACGAATTGCCAACCTTATCACAAAGATTGCACTGGATGATATTGCAATCCTTAGCCAGATCCTGACATAGAGAGCACTTCATCTCTGGACATGAGGAGGCAAAATGACCGAGAACCGCACTTACTGCAGAGCTTGGGCTGTCCAGGGTAGAACATGACAATCCTATCCTACCCAGTGAAGGCTAAGGAGGGCAGATGCTGGACCACATTCCCACACACATACAGCCCCATCTGCACTGATCACCCACCAGTCCATATCACCCTCTCATCCACACTGACCACCACCCACCAGTCCATATCCCCCTCTCATACACACCGACCACCCACCAAGTCCATATCCACCTCTCATCCACACCAACCACCCACCAGTCCATATCCACCTCTCATCCACACCGACCGACCACCCACCAGTCCATATCCACCTCTCATCCACACCGACCGACCACCCACCAGTCCATATCCCCCTCTCATCCACACCGACCACCCACCAAGTCTATATCCACCTCTCATCCACACCGACCACCCACCAGTCCATATCCACCTCTCGTCCACACCAACCACCCACCAGTCCATATCCACCTCTCATCCACACCGACCACCCACCAGTCCATATCCACCTCTCATCCACACCGACCACCCACCAGTCCATATCCCCCTCTCATCCACACCGACCATCCACCACACCGACCACCCACCAAGTCTATATCCACCTCTCATCCACACCGACCACCCACGAGTCCATATCCACCTCTCGTCCACACCAACCACCCACCAGTCCATATCCACCTCTCATCCACACCGACCACCCACCAGTCCATATCCACCTCTCATCCACACCGACCGACCACCCACCAGTCCATATCCACCTCTCATCCACACCGACCGACCACCCACCAGTCCATATCCCCCTCTCATCCACACCGACCACCCACCACACCGACCACCCACCAAGTCTATATCCACCTCTCATCCACACCGACCACCCACCAGTCCATATCCACCTCTCGTCCACACCAACCACCCACCAGTCCATATCCACCTCTCATCCACACGGACCACCCACCAGTCCATATCCACCTCTCATCCACACCGACCGACCACCCACCAGTCCATATCCCCCTCTCATCCACACCGACCATCCACCACACCGACCACCCACCAAGTCTATATCCACCTCTCATCCACACCGACCACCCACGAGTCCATATCCACCTCTCGTCCACACCAACCACCCACCAGTCCATATCCACCTCTCATCCACACCGACCACCCACCAGTCCATATCCACCTCTCATCCACAATCTTCTTCAGAGGGGTCAGTAGCTCCCCAAATCTTCTCAGCCAGATAGCCAAGTCAGCAGAAGGGATCGATTCATTCCTTACTAGGATGGTAACATTCCTAACAAGAGGTTGGTGTGAGACAAGCTTTGGGATGAGCCCCTTCCACTCCAGCAGACCCCTATACACATCAGCTTTTCCTCCTCCTTTGCAATTCTCACCAAATGGTCAGTAACCCTCTCTCTGAAGGCAGGGAGGGATTCCCCTTTTTTAGGGCCACAGCCAAGGTCTTCAGGTGTAGGTGAAGCTTGGGAGCGCAAGCTGGATCCCTCAGGGGGACTGGCTTGGGCCATTCCCCAAATCATTCATCTTGCTGGGACCAGGCAAGGAGGCCTGGCCACCTAGTGTGTGGAGAGAGAGAGCAACTGCACAAGCAACCTCTCTGGTACAGAGACTGATGTGACTGGCTCAGTGTTCTCTGTACAGCGCTGCGGTATACGTCAGAGCTATATAAATGTATAATAATAATAAATCGTGTGTGACTGTGGGGGAGGGGACATTAGAGTGTAAGCTCCTCTGGTGCAGAGACTGATGTGAGGTGGGGGAGGGGACATTAGAGTGTAAGCTCCTCTGGTGCAGAGACTGATGTGACTGGCTTAGTGTTCTCTGTACAGCGCTGCGATATATGTCAGTGATATACAGTCAGGTCCATAAATATTGGGACATCGACACAATTCTAACATTTTTGGCTCTATACACCACCACAATGGATTTGAAATGAAACAAACAAGATGTGCTTTAACTGCAGACTGTCAGCTTTAATTTGAGGGTATTTACATCCAAATCAGGTGAACGGTGTAGGATTTACAACAGTTTGCATATGTGCCTCCCACTTGTTAAGGGACCAAAAGTAATGGGACAGAATAATAATCATAAATCAAACTTTCACTTTTTAATACTTGGTTGCAAATCCTTTGCAGTCAATTACAGCCTGAAGTCTGGAACGCATAGACATCACCAGACGCTGGGTTTCATCCCTGGTGATGCTCTGCCAGGCCTCTACTGCAATTGTCTTCAGTTCCTGCTTGTTCTTGGGGCATTTTCCCTTCATTTTTGTCTTCAGCAAGTGAAATGCTCAATCGGATTCAGGTCAGGTGATTGACTTGGCCATTGCATAACATTCCACTTCTTTCCCTTAAAAAACTCTTTGGTTGCTTTTGCAGTCTGCTTTGGGTCATTGTCCATCTGCACTGTGAAGCGTCCAATGAGTTCTGAAGCATTTGGCTGAATATGAGCAGATAATATTCCCGAAACACTTCAGAATTCATCCGGCTGCTTTTGTCAGCAGTCACATCATCAATAAATACAAGAGAAGCAGTTCCATTAGCAGCCATACATGCCCACGCCATGACACTACCACCACCATGCTTCACTGATGAGGTGGTATGCTTAGGATCATGAGCAGTTCCTTCTCCATACTCTTCTCTTCCCATCACTCTGGTACAAGTTGATGTTGGTCTCATCTGTCCATAGGATGTTGTTCCAGAACTGTGAAGGCTTTTTTACATGTCGTTTGGCAAACTCTAATCTGGCCTTCCTGTTTTTGAGGCTCACCAATGGTTTACATCTTGTGGTGACACCTCTGTATTCACTCTGGTGAAGTCTTCTCTTGATTGTTGACTTTGACACACATACACCTACCTCCTGGAGAGTGTTCTTGATCTGGCCAACTGTTGTGAAGGGTGTTTTCTTCACCAGGGAAAGAATTCTTCGCTCATCCACCACAGTTGTTTTCCGTGGTCTTCCGGGTCTTTTGGTGTTGCTGAGCTCACCGGCGCGTTCCTTCTTTTTAAGAATGTTCCAAACAGTTGTTTTGGCCACACCTAATGTTTTTGCTATCTCCCTGATGGGTTTGTTTTGTTTTTTCAGCCTAATGATGGCTTCACTGATAGTGACAGCTCTTTGGATCTCATCTTGAGAGTTGACAGCAACAGATTCCAAATGCAAATAGCACACTTGAAATGAACTCTGGACCTTTTATCTGCTCATTGTAATTGGGATAATGAGGGAATAACACACACCTGGCCATGGAACAGCTGAGAAGCCAATTGTCCCATTACTTTTGGTCCCTTAACAAGTGGGAGGCACATATGCAAACTGTTGTAATTCCTACACCGTTCACCTGATTTGGATGTAATTACCCTCAAATTAAAGCTGACAGTCTGCAGTTAAAGCGCATCTTGTTCGTTTCATTTCCAATCCATTTTGGTGTATAGAGCCAAAAATGTTAGAATTGTGTCCATGTCCCAATATTTATGGACCTGACTGTATAACTGTATGATACTAATAAGAACAGTCTATGTATATATTGGGTTTTGCACTTACCTGCTAGAGAAATATCGTCCCAATATGGAGAGTCAAACTCATAATCACCATGCAGAATTTTCCGGAACAGGTTCTTGTCATGGCTTTCGTAATCTTCCTCCTCCATCTCATCGTAGAACGGAGGGTTCCCAGAGAGTCTGCAGGGGAGACACCACAAACAATGCTATCATCACACTGGAGATCCTATATACAAGGGACTGAAGTCACTTTGCTCCTCAGATGGTCTACTTCCATCCATAGTTGGCATTGCCCTCTACCCTCTGATTGGTTGCAGACACTTTCATTAAAAGGTAGCTTCATACAATAGGTCCACATGACTATATAATGACTGAAGTGATTTTATTTTCGCTCATATTACTCTACCAGTTCATGGTCCGGTGGTTTAGGAGTAGATGCATTAGTAGAGGTTTTCAGCATTGCAATCACAGTATCACATTAGATTAGTACATACAGAGATGTTTGAAGGTAACTAGAGGAGGACTCACAGTATATACATAATTACTCCAATTGCCCAGCAGTCCACAGGCCGACCATATCGCTGGCGTGCGACCACCTCTGGAGCTGCAAAGAGACAAACATGCGAAAGAGTTAGGAGGTGATGAATGACATGCCAGGACGGCACACACAGGGGTCATACAAGGGGTCATACAAGAAGAGGACCTCACCCAGGTACTCAGGTGTGCCACAAGGTTCTTTGATGAGGCTTGTCTCCACTTTAGCCAAATGAAAGTCACTAATGACGATTTTGGAATTCTTCAAACGATTATAATATAGCAAGTTCTCCAACTGGAGGGAGAGAAGGTCAAAAACTCAAAATGTGTCAGGAAGCCCCAAAACATTATAACCTGTCTGAATTTACTGATGTGCCAGCTTCTCTGGGGCCATCTCCACTATAGGGCATGGGGTCCTCTCCACCCTAGGGAACTAGGCTCTTTTCACTCTTACTCCTGGTTGCCTTTCAACCCTAGAGTATTGGGCCTTCTCCACCCTGGGTTTCGAGGCCCTTAAAAACCTAGGGCATAGAGCCTTCTCCACTCCTGGGGGCCAGCCCATGCTTCTCCTTTGGCCTTCTCCACACTGGAGCATGGGTCCCTCACCACCCTGGGTCCAAATCCTTCTCCATGCTGTAACATGGGGCCCTCTCCTCCCTTGGTCTTGAGAACCTCACCATCATAGGTAGAGCCCTCTCCACCCTGGGTTCTGGGGCCCTCTTGAGTTATGTCTTTACGCCCTATCCACACTGGAACATGAGGCCATCTCCACCCTAGGTCCTGCAGCCCTCTTTACCCTGGAGATATGGGTTCCATTCCACCCTGAGACCTACCCCTCTCTATTATTCCCCTCACCTTAAGGTTCCTGTGCAACCTGGAGAATAGGGCCCTCGCCATCCTGGGTCAAAGCCATCTCCATGCTGTAACCTGGCCCTCTCCACCCCACCAGTCTTTAGTACCTCAGCACCCTGGGGCATAGAGTCCTCTCCACCCTGGGTCCTGGGGTCCTCTCCAGCCTTGTTTTTTAGCCCTCTCCACACTTGACTGAGAAACCATCCCAACCCTAGGTCAGCCCCTGGAACCCCTCTACCCTGGGAGCCCAGGTCCCTTTCCACCCTGAGGTCAAATCCTCTCCATCTTCCCCTCAACTTGAGGTTCCTGTGCACGTTGGAATATAGGAACTTCTGCACCCTAGGTCCAAAAGTTTACTTTACCCTGTAAGTTCTGGAACAGAATCCTCTCCCACCCTGGTAATAAGGAGACCTCTCCAGCCTTGTCCTGTAATAACCTCTACAGTGGAGTGTGGGGCCATCTCTACCCTAGAACCCTCAACTCTGGGGACCTGGGTCCCTCTCCACCCTAGGACCTAATCCTCTTCATTTTTCCCAACACCTGCAACTTGGAGCATAGGGCCCTCTCCACCCTGGGTCCAAAAGCCTTCTCTGCCCTGTAACATGGGGTCCTCTATATTTTTGGTCTGAGGACCTCACCACCCTGAGTCCTCTCCAGCTTTGTCCTGTGGCCCTCTCCACCCTAGAGTGTGAGGCTATCTTCACCCCAGGTCCTGGGAACCACTCTACCTTAGGAGCCTGGGTCCCTTTCCACCCTGGGGCTATATCCTCTCCATTCTTCCACTCACCTTGAGGTTCCTGTGCACAATACACAGTGAGTGAAGATAGGCCACAGCCTCCAGGACCTGCCGGATGACATTGCTTGTGTCCTTCTCTGAGTAATAACCCTGATCCAGGATCCAGTCAAACACTTCCCGGCCTGAAGCTCTGGATGTGGAGTAAACAGTAAACAGATGTTATCTGGGGCACTGTAAGAAGATACAAGGATTTTCTGTATCATATATGGGATCTATGGTCTTTTAAAAGGTTTTAAGTTTTCCATGTGAATCTAATCAGCTGAGATAACCTTAGTAATGTGTTTTAAGCTTTATAAACCTCGTTGGTCATTCTTCATATTCACTGCTGTCGCTGCCATATTCCTATTGGGAACAAAACTATAGCCGTAATAGATCATGTGATTGCTTCAGGGCCCAGAAGCACAGTGAGGGCCCTGCAGCAATAGCAGGAATAGCATTTGGCAAATACATTTTCATACAAGTATACATAGTATGGGAACCTCTATATGATTTTAGATTGTAAGTTCTCACAAGCAGGGCCCTACTATCGCTCTTGTATTTTCCTTCAGTGTATGTCTTTATGTTAGCTTAGGTCTCTTTACCCCAGAAGAACCCATGAAATCATTTTCAGATCTCAGGGATCCTCTTCTAAAAATTTTGTATATCTGCTGCTCAACATACATGAGCAGAATCAGTAAATTATAGATATAATTATAAAAAAAAAATTCCTTTTATAACCAAAAATATATATAAATAGTGACCAGGAGAAAGGAGCAGACAACGAAAATGGTCATGAAGAAATGTCCCCTTACATTTGTGGTCAGTGGAGAAATTCCTCTTACATTGGTGGTCAGTGAGAAGAATGTCCCTTACATTGGTGGCCAGTGAGAAGAATGTCCCTTACATTGGTGGCCAGTGGGAAGAATGTCCCTTACATTGGTGGCAAGTGGGAAGAATGTCCCTTACATTGGTGGCCAGTGGGAAGAATGTCCCTTACATTGGTGGCCAGTGGGAAGAATGTCCCTTACATTGGTGGCTAGTGGGAAGAATGTCCCTTACATTGGTGGCCAGTGGGAAGAATGTCCCTTACATTGGTGGCCAGTGGGAAGAATGTCCCTTACATTGGTGGTCAGTGAGAAGAATGTCCCTTACATTGGTGATCAGGGGGAAGAATGTCCCTTACATTGGTGGTTAGTGGGAAGAATGTCCCTTACATTGGTGGTCAGTGGGAAGAATGTCCCTTACATTGGTGGTCAGTGGGAAGAATGCCCCTTACATTGGTGGCTAGTGGAAAGAATGTACCATACATTGGTGGCCAGTGGGAAGAATTCTCATTACATTGGTTTTCAGTGGAAAAGGGCCATGTTGCTTTGGTAGTCAACAGAGAAGGGCCTGTTACATTTATGGTGGTGGGGAAAGGGACACCTCACATTGTGGACAGTTGATGAATGCCCTCCATTACATTCGTGGTCAATGAATAAGCGCTTCTCTTACATTGGTGGCTAGCAAAGAGCTTCTTACATTTAGGTTAAAAGGACAAGGGCCCTCAAATTGGTGGACAGTTGAAGAAAACATGTCCGTTACATTTGCGATTTCGTTAGGGGTTAGTCAACCTCAGAAGGAACCCTAGTTGAGAAAAGCTGGCTTTGAATGACTGGAGACAACACCTTCTCTGGTTGTCTCAACCTGTCATTGGTTTTATCTCAGCAGCTGCTTTGCAAGGCCTTTGTTGGCATTTGTCATACAGCTATCTATAGAATAAAGACATCTACAAAATGTTGATGAAATCAGGGAATAGCAATCAAATAGAATGTGCAACACTGACAGTCACTTTTAGCTGGTGTAATTGGGGCCTCTGTGAAATAGGTTCTCTTTAGGTGAGAGGAGGTTTCTTCACCCACAATGTCTGAATATTGAAAGTTGTAAACATTTCTATACATCCATTGATGAGACCAGTGCACAGTGAATTGGTCCCTAGATTTATTGAATGGTTTCTAGCAGTGAGTAGAGTTGGCTTTGGTGTGCATTGTTGGGTGATCAAAGACAGAAGACTCAAGTTGACCTCCATTCAAAGTTCTGAGTTACAGGGATCTACATGACAAAAGCCATGTTTACGATACAATCCGGAACAATCAGAGAACAGCTATGGAAAGAGAAGGAAGCCTGAGGGAAGCCTGGGACTCTGGGTGAGAATTTACCTGCCAGGGAGGAGACCTTCCCTCATCTCCCATGACATCTGAGTGTCACTCAGCTTCCTGCGTCCTCACCACAGGTCAATGGAGAGAGGGTCTCTTTTATAATCAGGGCTTGTAAGGTGGGCATGGAATATTCTTCTCAGTAAGGGAAATCTTTTTGCCAATTTATGTTAATAATTTTAGACATAAAAGTCACCTTTCAATGACCTTCCCGTTCCCCAGGAATGCCAACATGGTACCTCCATAATCCGCTCCACCAACTCTCTCCAAATGTTCTCCTTCTCTCCCCAAAATGTGCAGCCTGAGGACACTACACAGTCCTGTTACCGATGCGCAAATTTAGAGTTTATACCAAAAAATAAAAAAGCAGAAGTTACTTTCAGGCCAAAGTCCAAACACGAAGACAAAGGTGTGGACCTGAGAAGGGAAAAGTGGGCAGCAGGGAGTGCTGCACAGGGTACAGCGATAGGAAGTGCTAGCAACCAGTGGACCATAGTTTCACGTCTGCTCTGACAGCTACTGCTGTCACACTGTGCTCCAATGTGCTCACTCTCCACCCCATCCATCTTTAGCGGACACAAAAGCACGCCGTGCACGTGCAACCACCTTCTGGGTGCTAGAAAGCAAACAATTGACCACACATAGGTAATGCACACTCCATGCCAACCATGAGCAGTCAGAGCGAGGAGGCAGAAAATGGGCACAGGGCAGTATATCCATTCTGTAGATAAATGAATTAAGGGGGCCCAGTTCCATATGTTTGTCCTGGGCAGGGGTGGACTGACAACTCATGGGGCCCCCGGGCAATAGGGGATCATGGGGCCCCTGTGTCCTTGCCCAAACTCAAAAAAGCCTATGAAAAAAGGTACCAGGGGCATCTCATGGGGCCCCCTACTGACCCCGGGCCCTCAGGCAGTGCCCGAGTTTCCAAATGGTCAGTCTGCCCCTGGTCCTGGGCACTCAATGAACCTGTCCCAGTACTGGGGTGGATTACTGAAGTTACGGGTAAATTTTGATGGTTTTTATGTAAGTCAAGCTTCTTCTTCCCAGATTTCTCTATTGGTCAGACATGCCTTCCGCCACATTAATGGGACTCTGACTCTGGCCTGGGAGGTGAATGCACATGCCTGTATGCCCAAATTTTGTGCAAACTAAACCAGCAAGTGAAATTCTGATTTATTGAAATAACAATCTCTGTGATATTAAACATTCGGTTTTTTAGCACTTTTAGCAGCTGATTTGATGCCTTACTGCAAAGGTTTAGCTAGAACCTTCAGAGTCCCAATGCAAGAAACTACATCCTGGGGCCCTTTACCATGGGTCCCGAGGCCCTTTCCTCTGGCCCTGGAGCCCTTCGCTCTGAGCCCAGGGCACTTCCACAATGGTGGAGCACCATCGTATAAAGATGAAAAAAGATATAAAAAGATATCCAAAGCCTTGAATATGCCGGTCAGTACTGTTCAATCACTTAGGATTTAGGGATCTCTTGATACCAAGCCAAGAAAGATGGCAGCCACAAATGTCAGAAGAATTGTTCAGGATGCAAAGAAAAACCCCCCACAGGTCACCTCAGGAGAAATACAGGCTGCTCTGGAAAAAGATGGGGCGGTTGTTTCAAGGAGCACAATACAACGATATTTGAACAAAAATTATCTGCATGGTCGAGCGGCCAGAAAGAAGCCTTTACTGCACCAATGCCACAAAAAAGCCTAGTGAGGCGTGTCAAGGTGGCGTTGAGCATATTGTAACCGGCCTTTTTTGTGGCTTTGGTGCAGTAAAGGCTTCTTTCTGGCCACTTGACCATGCAGCTCAGTTTTGTTCAAGTATCGTCGTATTGGGCTCCTTCAAAACAACCACACCGTCTTTTTCCAGAGCAGCCTGTATTTCTCCTGAGATTTCCTGTGGGGTTTTCTTTGTATCCCAAACAATCCTTCTGGTAGTTGTGGCTGCAATCTTTCTTGGTCTACCTGACCTTGGCTTGATATCAAGAGATCACCAAATTTTCCACTTCCTAATAATAGACTACAGTACTGACTGGCATATTCAAGGCTTTGGATATCTTTTTATATCCTGTTCCATCTTTAAAAAAGGTCCATTACCTTGCTACGCAGGTCTTTTGATAGTTCTTTTCTGCTCCCCATGGCTCAGTATCTAGCCTGCTCAATGCATTCATGTGAGAGCGAACAAACTCACTATTTATACACAGACACAATTTAAAAAGCCAAAGATGTGGGAAAAGTAACCTTTAATTGCCATTGTAACCTGTGTGTGTCACCTTGTGCGTCTGTGACAAGGCCAAATATTCTGGGGGGGGGACCTTGATCTGGGCCATTTGGGCGATTTCTGGTTTTATGATTTAAAAAAGGAGCCAAACAACTATGATAATAAATGACTTCATATGATCCCTAGCCCACTTTAAGGACACAGGTGCAGCCTCTTTAATGTAATGGGATAGTCACCAGGGGGAAGCTCAGCTGGTATAAAAATGGTGGCCGCCGGACCCCCGTGATCCGACGGCGTGACATCAAGGCTTGCAGGCTCCTCCAAGACGCATTTTGTACACTTGTACGTCTTCAGTAGGGGTGTGCCAGTAGATGGCACACCCCTACTGAAAGGATCCCAGTGGGGCACCACCCGAAGGGAAGGCAAATCTGCAAGGATCCCAGTGGGGCACCACCCGAAGGGAAGGCAAATCTGGTCATTGCAGAAGAGAAGTCACAGCAGAGGTATGCTCAGCAAGGAAGTCATAGGAAAAACTTCAAGAAAATGGAAGTCCTGGTGGGAATTTGGTCCAGGACCCCATTGATGACCACTAAGATACTGTACTTTTCTTTATATATTCCGCAAGCAAAAAAAAGAGACACCTTGCCACCAGTTGAGGATTGTGGCTTGTGGTGTTTCATGGACACTTGTGACATGCTGTTACTCTATCAGGTCTGCTGTGCACTTCTTAGTT